GGTGTTTTGCTGCATGAGGTGGCAGAACTGTGCTGTGGTTTTTAGGAACTCACCATCTAGGAATGGAGACAGATATGCAAGAAGAGTGAATGACCCCCCTTGAGAATCAGTGTGCAAGAATCAATGGCAGCATGGCAAGGATGGGTGACAAGAGCAGCATCAGCAAGACTAGTTAGGAAGGACCAATAGGTTTCAGAAATGGAGAAGTAATGGAAGCTTGGGGTCTACTTAACATTTTAGAAAAACAGTCTTTGAGAGGAGTTTGGAAGATGGGTTGAGTAAGGAGTAGCTGGGCGGCAGGGAAACCCTGCCTAAGATTAGGATGGAAATCTATATGACTGAGATAGGGAGGAGCTGCCCCACAGATATTTTGGAGATGACGTAGACTGAATTGGGTTACAGAGGCTCCTCGTTGTTCAGGGCACACACTGGGAGTCAGATGAGCCAAAACATAAGCTGTGCCACCCACGAACCAGGTCATGGGGCACCTGTGATCTCCTCTCCTCAAGCTTCATTTTTCTCATCTTCACAACGGAGAGTGTTATTGAGATGACTAGTAAGCTAATCGGGTAGAATGCTTAGTAAAAAATTAAAGCTTTGCATTTACTGAGTGTTCAACATTCCTAAATGTTGACTTATAACTATCATGATTATTACAAATATTATAATGAATCATTGATATGGGAAGGGAGAGAAGGGAATCAGAAGTGGCAGTCTAGCTTGGAAGGTTGATAAACAATGACACTGTTAGCGAGGATAGGCAGTAGCTATAACAATAAGCATTTATGAATTTACCAGGCAGTGTTTTGGGGGGGGTTCACATACATACTCTCCTTGAATTTTTACTAGAACCCAAAGTACAGTTTGGCAAAGTACAGAGGCAAAAATCTGAAGCACAGAGAAGTAACTAGTAAGTGAAGAAATATGGACACTTTCTCTAATCTCTACAATTACTCTGCCCAAAACACAAGGAAAGTTCTAGAATAATAAAGAGAACTTGGTGAGGGGAGAAACGTATGATTAGCTAGTCTAAATCTGACATACTGAGAGACACTACAATAGAGTGATGTAGCAGTGATACTGGAAATGCAGGTAAATCATTTTCTACTCGAAAGACCAGGGGATAGAGAACCTGAGATAGCAAACCATGAAGAAATAATGCTAACAGAAGATTAATCAGAAATGCACATGCATCTCAAAAGTTACTTTGTGAGACAGAGAGAAAATAGACTGTACTAATGCAAGTCTGATTTCTATGCAACTTTGCAGGAAGTGATCGTATGTGAAGGCAAGAAGCATCTCTATAACTCTATTCTCCTGACATTCATCTCCCTAGTGCCAACAGCAAGATGCATGCTTGGAGGCCTGGACCTGTTCCTTGAGCTGCGCTGTCTCGATGAAATAAAGGGAAACTAGGAATTTTCCTGTTGGGGCTGCCCATCTGGTGATTTGCAGTGACAGCAAAGGGAAGCACGTGGTTCCGTGTGCTGTCTGGGCCTGAATGGCAGAGCTTGGCAGCTGCCTCTGGAGAAATACCCCAGTGAGGGAGTCCTCCTGTGAATGATTTCACCCCAGGCACCCTCCCTGGCACAGCACTCCCAGAGGTCGCAGAAAATTTGGAATCCTAGCTGCTAGTTCTGGAAGATGACCTGTAAATCCTTGCCCTCTCGAATTTGATGTCCTCTCCTATTTGATGCCTGAGCATTTACATTCTCAGGGCAGAAACATACTTTGTAACTACTGGCTTCCTCCCTCCCCCAGAAAACATCAGGGTTATCTGCCTGGCCTATGACTTACTCACCTTTTCTAAGGCAGCACACCCTCACACATGTGCACACACTCACACACATACATGTACAGTGTAGTCCAGCTTGCAAAGAATGAATCCATCCCAAGGAGAGGCACTTGACACAAGATTTACCAATGAGATGCCTCTCATCTGGGAATCTGGAACTTGGCATAGTGCGGGCTAATATGATCCGGGAGTCTCTGGCTGTCAAAAGATGGAACGGGAAATAGACACACAAGCCATCCAGTTTCACATGACAATTCCTTCTTAAATCTAGCTGAATTTCCTGTTTTCAAGCTCTATGAAGTATTTCCACACTTTTCTGTAAATTAACTCTTTTTTTTATATTAAGTTAGAATCAGTATCTGTTACTTGTCACTTAAACAGCCTCCACAAAGACATGCAGTAAGAGAATTTTATATAAATGCAAATATGGCTGGAAACTTCACTCTCCAACGCCCAAGATAAGGCAGAAGTCAGTACTTTGCCTCTGTAGTAAATTTCCAGGCAAAAATAACAAAGTTGATGATAAACAGGGTCGTTCATATAGTTTACTTTTCAAAATGTGCCTGCTAGCTTATATTATTTAATCAGGGAAGCTGATGGCATTTCAGATCATTTTAGTAAATGGTAAGACTGAAACACAGAAAAATACCCTCATCCATCCAATTTCTCTGCGTTCCTGGACTTTCTATGTAGCCACGTTTGCTGTAAAGATTGATAGTGCTATTTGCAGTAGATATTTGAGATGAACTGATGATTGATGATGAAAGACACAATATCGCTTTTCTATTCTCAGAGTAACATAAAAGGCTAAATTCCTCTGAACCTGCTTACCATGAAAGCACACACACACACAGATTCAAGTTCTTCATTTGGAAAGTGGTTGTTCATGTTGTCAAATACCAGAGCTGGCATTTAAAATGCAAGATTCTGGCTAGATGAAATTCAAAGTATAGAAAATAAGCATTCTGTTCATAGCATATTTGCAAGAACACACAAATGCATGCATCCTGCTGTCATGTTATTTGCTATTACTTGCCTGGGCATGAAGGGGTGCCTCCTAGCTCAGTAACTTGCTCATCCCTCTAGAGACTTCTTTACACCCACCAATGACACTTTGTCCCACCTCCTCCCTCATACTTCAGGGCATCCATAAGACGCGACTTTCTCTCCTGGCTTCTCTCAAATACCACATTGCAAGAAACCTGGTTCGGTTCTAGCAGGTTGGGACTTGTTTAGCACAGAGAACTTACCCTTTGTCTCTCTACTCTTAGCACGAAGTGCAAGGTCCAGTGCCAAAGCTGTTATTAAGTGGTTGCTGGATGGTAAGATGTAAACATATTTCAACTGCCCAAAGAGACTAAAATTAGCTCAGGGACAAAGAGCAGGTCACTTTAGAATCCGTTCATGTACATTAAGTAGATACATGTCCTAATAGCATTTACACTAATGCAAAGGGGTAGAGGATGGAAAAGAAGCATATGACATTAGTCCTATTTTGATGAAGACTACAGAGTAAGTACTTACCTGTAACACATCATGACTTGCTTTTTCAGTTTATTAATTTACAATTGACAAAATAAAAAAATTGTATATGTATGAAAAAGATTGTATATATATATATATATATATATATATATATATATATATATATAAGGTACACAACATGATGTCTTGATACACACATACATTGAAAAAGTATTGAGAAAGTATTATATTGACTACAAGTAAGCTAATGAACAACCATCATTCATATAGTTACTGTGTGTGTGGTGGGGGGTGGTTAAGAACACTTGAGATCTAGTTTCTGAGCAAATGCCTGGCATAAAACATGCCATCATTCACAGCCATTACCATGATGTGCGCTTGTATGAGGAATTTACATGTCTTGTCAGGCAGTCTGTGATAGTCTCTATTCTTAATAACATGTCACTTATTCTATGTCAAGTATTGTCAGGTTCTTTACATATGCTATTAATTGTCACAAGCTCTGTGGTGTATTGTCATCACTGATCCCACTATGCAAATGAAGAAACTGAGGCTCATGAAATTTTCAGTCATTTGCTCAAGATCACACAACTAATGAGAATTTCAGATTCATCTGCCTACATCTGCAGTAAACTAATTAGATGCCTGAGAAAATACCAATGGTAAGGTTGGGGACAGGGAAGGAAAAGTGATGAGGCAAAAATCAAGACAAGACTTCATTGATTTCAAGAGAATTAAGGATAGCTCACTATGAGCATCCTGACCTAGACTCAGGTAGGATTAAGTCACAGCAGCTCTAAGAAAGTTTTCTTAAGAAAAGCCCTTAAGTAATGATACAAAATTGTTTCTGTAGCAGTTGACAACAAGCTGGTGAACCAGATTTACTGCTGAAGGTTGCACTGGGAAAGCTCCCAGGCATCATGGCAGCGGGGGTGGGGGAGGGCAGGTGTGTGGCATTTATTGTTCCTGAGAGTAGCAGACCCTGTGCCACTAATCAGATCATTACACTGATTGCTGTGACTCCCACAGACACACAGGAAGACAAACAAGTGGCTTGGAAGTAAATGAAAACCCAGTCTCTCCAGCTCCCTCCCCATGCACATGAGAGCTATGACTCACTTGCTAAGGATTCATCATCTTTAAGCATCACCCAGTGATAACAGAGGTGTTGTTGCAAGATGCCTTATGATAGAGACAACAAAAGGAAGAAGTCAAGAAAAGCAGAGCACTGTCAACATCGAAAGACATGACAACAGTGAGTTCCCTTTAGGAGTATATTGGCAGAAATGTGTGTTCAAGAGACGACAGTGGAGACAGCATAGAATCTGGACTCTGGAAATCTGTATTCTACCCTCAGTTCTGCCATTAAAATACTGTTGGATTTTGTTGGAATGCTCTGTCTCCATTTCTCCAGTCATCCAATAAAAGTGTTGATGAATCCTTCATTTTTTAAAAATTTTTTATGACATAATGATCACAGATGGGAACATGTCAATTTTGGACATTCAGAGAGACTGAGTCAGGACACCTGGGTTGTATTCTGGTTGACCACTTGTGAAATTTCCTTCCCTTCTCTGGGCCTCAAGTTCTCCCTCTCAAAAATAGACATCTGTTTAGCTGACCTCCAAAGTCTCTTTTAGCTGCAGAGGTTTTTGAAACTATATTTTCTGAATCTCACAATATTAACTTTAGGGAAGAAGTTGGGTGTGAGTTTTTACCTCTAGGAGGAAGGAATATTTTCTTCTCACCCCAGAGTCAAATCCAAAATCCAAGTAAAAAATCTGAAATAAAAACAGCAGAAGAATAGATCAGGTTCAGACAATACTAACAAATCTATGTCCTTATCCACAGGGGAAATGTACAGGTTGGATTTTTACAGGCAGAAACAGAAAGAACATTTCCCAAAAATTCCTGATGAGAATACAAATGCAAATGCAAGTCTGCTGGCTAGAGCTGAGCTGTGTGGAATCACAAGGTCAGAGTTGCTAGTAAAAGTGTGTGGGTGCAAACTGCAGTGCATCACCAGTGCAAATCAAGCATTTCTTTCTGCCTCCATCTTCTCGCCCATGGTATAGTGCCTTGAAATCAGGCATGTGTGTGCAAGCATGTGTGTGTGACCCAGACACTTCTGGCTGACAGGTCTAGCAGTGTTCTGTGACAGACACTACTGTGAAAGAATCTAAAGTGTATTTGCAAAATGCTTATTGAAGTTGCAGAAGTCAAGATTTATGTTCATACTACACTTGCCACAACTGTATCTGTAGCAAACTCCATCCACTCAACAGGTAAGTCAGAATACCACAACCGCCAAAACAGTTCTCATTTCAAGGATATTCTTTTGAGGGCCTCCCTGGCAGTACAACAGGTTAAGTCTCAGCACTATCAAGTTATTGGCAGCACCAGTTCCAGCCCCAGCCAGGGAGGTGACCCACCTGGTGCAGCAGACCTCTCCTGCTGCTCCCCTCAGCAGTGTGTTTTAGTAGATTCACTTGTTTTTCTCCCCCACTCTGTCACTGGTGAATCCTCTCATCTTCCATACCTCTGAACCTCTGATCTACATCCCAGCTCTTGTATGCATAAATAAATAAAATAAATATTTTCAAGAAATAGAATAATCTTTCCAAACAATTTTAAAGCAATGGCATCACTGGAAACGTTTGAGGTGCCTAGCATTCAGGAGATTTGCAAGGAACCATGCAGAGAGCTATGCATGGTCTTATTAAATACTCACCACCATCTAGAGGAAAGATAAGAATTAGTTCAAATTTTACAGGAAAGAAAACTGAAAGCGAGAGATTAACTTCCTTTTCTAGGGTCTCACATTTACTCAGCAGGAGGGCTGACTCTTGAGCCAAGAGGTGGGTGGTAACCTCGCATCTCCTAAATCTGGAGCAGCTGCCACCTTGCTTGAGTCCTGCTAACATGCTATTTAGTGGCTAACTAAATATGGGTGAGCCAGAACAACATTCCTCAAGTCAGCTTTGTCAGCTAGAAAAAGGGACCCCGAATGATAAAAGCACTTTGTTTCTCCTTACAATAAAAAAAGAAAACAACGACATAAGATAAAATGTGAAGTAAATTGAACTATTCCAACTCTGCAATAGAGGAAAGCCAGTTTACATTTTCCTATGTGAGTGCCCTAGCTATCGATTCGGTAACACAACTGCATGACTGCACCTGTGGAAAAGGTGTTGTTTTTCAAGTTAATGTATATTTTATTGAAGGGGCATCGCACTATAACATTATGTATTTATGCATTTATTTATTTAAAGATGTATTTATTTATTCATACAGAATTGGGGTACAGGCCGGAGATGCGGAGGGTGAGAGGGCTCACCAGGAACAGAGTGGGGAGCAGAACAGGCAGATCAACGAAGTACACTGCTGAGGGGAGCAGCGGGCGGGTCAGGAGAGGTGTGCTGTGCCATGTGGATCTCCTCCGGGGCAGGAGGGGATTGAACTCATGCTGAAGTGGCTTAAGCCTCCTAGTGCAGTGCTTTAACCCGCTGTGCCACCAGGGAGGGCCTATAACATTATTTAAATTCCATTGTGCATCTTTGAGCAAGGACATGTATCTAGACTGCATTCAGTGCAGGGGTAAAGGTCAAGTCCATGCCTCCCCCTTCCATAGTTCATTTTTCCTACTTTTTAAATGTAAAAATTATTTAAGTTTGAAAGTTTTACCCAAATATAGTTTCACATTGAATCTTCTGTATTTCTTGGAAAAACTTCTCAAATCCTCCAAAAAGCTGATCAGCACTCTTTGTAACACTGAACTAGGAAAACCTGTGAGACTTTCAAAGGATTTTACATATGCAATAAAAAAAGATGTCAGGAAAGTCAGAAACCTTTGAAATTCAGACAAAATGAGATATTATTTGCATTAATAAATAATATACAGAACTAAACAGCAAAATAAACATGCTTTGAAAGTCAAGGGAATGGTTTCTTTTTTTATATATGTAATTCATTATGTGTGTGTGTATATATATATATGTATATATATATGTATATATGTATATCTTATTTACATAATTGTTTATTTTTGTACAATGCTGCTTTCTCCTCTCAGGCTTAATCCCCATAGAAATCCCACCACCACTTCACCCATGCACCATCGTGACAGTCTTTTGTGCTCTCCCTTCCCCTGTTTTTACCCCTCTCCCTCCTCCCCTGCAGTGTCTTTGATTTATAGTGGCCTGTTAATTTTTTGCTTTGTTTTTCATTGTTATTATTTTCCCTGATCCCTTATTTGGTTCCCTGTATTTCTCCCATAAGGGAAACCATCCAATATTTTTCTTTGCCCTTCTGACTTATTTCACTGAGCATCTTCTCAATCCAGTCATCTATTTGGGGGCATGATATATGTTCTTTAATAATGCCTTGTATTTTTCATTGTGTAAGTTTTATCCTACTTGGTTTGGTTAATTCCTTGGTATTTGATTATTTTATAAGCTATTGTAAATAGAATTAGTTACTTTCTTTCCTTCTCATTCATTACTTATAAAATAATGCAATGCATTTGTACACATTTTTTTTTTTTGTAAACTAATACTTTGGTTAATTTGTTTTTAAGAGTTTTTTTGGTGGTCTTTAGGGTTGGTTTATACATATATCATCATATTATCTCTGAATAATGGTAGTTTCATTTCTTCTCCAACCTGGATTCCTTTTATCCTATTGGCTGATTGCTCTAGATAAAACCTCTAATACTAAATTAAACAGAAGTGGTGACAATGATCATCCTTGCCTCATTCCTGATCATAAAGAGAAAGCTTTCAGTTTTTCACCAGTAAATATTACACTGGCTATTCATTTGAGATAAACAGCCTTGATTACATTTAGGTAGGTTCTCTAGACTCCTATATTTTTTGTCTTTAATATAAATGAGTTCTGAATGTTATCAAATGCTTTTTCTTTGTCTATTCACATTTTAATATACTTTTACCTTTACTTTGTTGAAACAGTATATTACATTGATTTGGTTTTGTATATTAAACCATCCTTGTAGCCCTGTGATGAATTCAACTTGGTCCTTGTATTATTGTGTAATTCAATTTTCTAATAATTCTCATGAAAGAACATACCTACTTTTTATGATTTGCCATCTGCCAGGTACTCTTCATAGGTCACTTCACTTAAATACCATGATATCTATTAAATATGAAAATTCTCTGGAAGATTGCAAGGCTACATGTAATTTATTTCCATGATCATTTAGGCATAATAATATAAAATTAAGTAGTGGGAAGAAAATTAAAAAGACCTTGTTCACCTCAGTATTTTAATTAAACAATGTCTTATTTTAAAACCATACCACATAAAAGAAGGGATCATGAAATAGCAAAATTATTTTTTTAAACGAAGAACATTTGCATCCCAAGGAAACTCTATGATTAGTCAGTCTTCCCAAACATCTATCTTGGAAGGATAAGTTTGGAGGAGGAGCCCCAACAGCAGAAGCTGTAAAAATATTTCAGTCCATATCACTTTGACACTGACAGTGACCAACCAGTAGTGGTAAATCACTAAGAGGGAGTATTAGCACACCCTACAGATAGAAGCATAAAGAATTAATTGCACAAAAAAGAGAAACCACTCAGGTTTACAAGACAAGCAATTTATAATGCTGTAAATACAGTTTATGTTTCATGTATTTAATTAAATATCTTAACTTTGAAGTTTGTACATACTAAGATACTTAATGCTTAGAAGAAAGAGAATATAGTCTTTGGCTAAAAATCAAGCTATTTCTACACAGGGGGAAATTTAGTAAAGTGAATCCATAGGTACTATTCCCAACTAATTTTCTATGCTTTACAAGTGTGGTATAAAATGATCTTAGCTGTTTCCTTTTGAATACTGACTAAGCTTCGTTCTATGGTGTCAAATATAAAATTTACAAGTCTCACTCAAATTTGTAATGTAGTTAGCTCAGTTTTGTTAGTGGCCACTAATAAACAACCAAGACAAGTCACTTGTTAGAACTAGCAAAGTTAATGTGTGTGTTCTTTAGCTTAAAGTATTAAAGCGACTGAGTACTGAACTTGTTTTTTCCTGCCCAAATATGACAGAAACTAGTTTCATATATATTGCATGACTAATTTAATTCTATTGAATTTGAAATCAATACCCAAGATGCTGCATGGCTAACAAAATCTGTGTCCTGTGCTAAATGATGACATTGGTTCACAAGCCTAATTCTCCCTTCAACCCTTGCTAAGGAAGGAATCTGTTTACCCTCCTCTGGAGGTAATATCTTTCACAGGGCCTGGACTACTCCCCAGAAGCAGAGGAATTATTGGTTATTCAAAGTCAATCAGTGTGGTTTTATTCTCTGTGAAAAGAAAATATTTTAGGCATGTATTTGTGACAGAATTTTGACTAGTAAAATAGGGCAAGTCTGTTTGGAGAGGTCAAGAAATGTCTGTCCATTCTGAATAAGGGTAACTGTTGGCTGTTCCCATTTCCAATTGCTCAATATTGTCTAAATAGTCTGCCTTGAGTTGCTTTTAATTAGTAACCACTATTAGAGGACAGGTCAACAGGCCAAGAGTGGTGGAGAATGGAAATGGGAAGTCACTAAACTTGCAACTTTGGAATCTATGTCAATATTTCTTATATAATGAGATAAACAGTTGTGCAACACAAACACACTAATTTAAAAGGAAACCTGCATTCTGCAATATTCATTGCAGAACTATTTACAATAGCCAAGATAGAGCAATAAACTAAACACTCAAAAATAGACAAGTGGATCAAGAAGATGTGGTATATACAC